AGACAAGTGTGCTGGTGTTCATTGGAGGTGGAAAACTGAAGCACAATTCTGAGAAATCTCACCAAAATCCACACAAACATTAACTTTAGCAACTCTGATAAAGTGCAGTTCACAGCCGCTTCAGTGAGAAGCATCCTGGAGCAGAGAGACAGTCTCAAAGAGCTCTTGCTAATTTTCTCACTGTTTGTATACCAAGTATACATTAGACACGGACAGACAACAGTGGTTATAAAATCCACATTTTGCTACCAGAAGAATCTGAGTCCATTTGCATTTGAGAAATTATTCTATAGCCACTGAAAATATTTGTTTCTGATTGGATGGCAGGTGGCGGATAGCTGGAAAGTTGGATCTGGAATGTCCAAACAATATTTAAAATTTTTGTGCTGTACACACAATCACAGATTCTTGTTAGCATAGCCTTTTATGTTATTACAGGTAATAACAAAATTACAGGTAATAACAAAAAAAAATGCAAATGTATGTGTCTGTTTGGATTTGAAAAGTCAGATCAGCTGAATTAGCTTGCCCTTCTCTAACTGTGACGTAATAGGCAAAACTCTGAAGTATATTTTGTGTGTTGACTCTCAAATGTGGCAGCAGCTGCTGAGCCATGTATAAAAAGTGGCTGATCTTAGGCCCAGGTTCTGCATCTTACACATGGCTGCTGCAAAACTACATCATACCCAAACAAGAGTGGCAGTTAACACAACACCCTTTGATAGATATGCTATATTCAACTGACCACGTGCTTTTGAGTGGAAAGGTGGCTTTCCCTAAGTGCTATTCCTGGGCAGTTGATCGTAAAACTGGCCACTTGGCAACAGCCGAGATAAGCCTCTCGGTGCCTGACTGTTAAACTGACAAAAGGGACATTAACCAGCGATTAGCGTTTCCCTGAACAGCCTATCAGAACTCTCCTTAAAAGGTTGCAGGAAACCCTAAACTGCTCCCCCCACACATTGAACCGTGGCAACTGAATAATAATAATCTTTTAGTTACTTGATTACGTTTGCCTCTATTTGAGTAGTTATGTTACCATGTTGTTGCTATCTGTTGTTGATATTATTGCTGAAAAGAATCTAAAGTTATTTTTGCAGTGTTTTAATTTTCAGCAAGATTAAGGACACTCCTTCATTTTATGTGTAACCAATGCTTGTTCACAATACTTTCTCACACAATTCCTTTAGAAATGATGATAAATGTCATACTACATGCTATTAATTGCCAGCTTGAATTTAAGGCCAAATAACTAAATTTCCAGCGCCTGAGAAGATTGTTTTGGATTAATCTAAGCTTTCCTCATGTAACCTGAGCTCCCCCAAGTGGACGAAATAAGTATTACATACCATCGTCGGAAATGCCGTTAATGTATAAATGTCACTCATTATTTATCATGACCAATAATTTGACAATTGTTTTCCTGTTACCAAATGCTTAAACTTAGAACGGTACAACCGTTTGACCATTGAGGCTTGATTGTGGAAAATATTTGATTATAATACGCGCAAATAGATTTTCTTTTCCTTTTTAGAGACATTAAAAGTTTAGAAAGACAGTCCCTCGGGAAACTGGAAACGGCCTGCCCGGCGGGAACGAAGGACTGCCCTCTGGGGAACCACGCCCCAGACAACAAAAGAGCGACACACAACGTCGGTCACTCTCTTCTCTTACGCTCTTCGCTCTGCTCTCTGGACGCTTCAGCATGCTCCCGACGTGCCATCTCCCGGCAACGCCCTAAGAATTCGACCAGCGCAACAAAGTCTTTGTTTCGCTTGAAGCTACACACGCGAAGTGCCGCAGCTTCAGATTCCCTCAGTTCCAGCAACTTTACTTGTTTTATGTTCTTTCGTTTGTTTTGTTAAAAGTTATCAGTCCATTAAGTTACACTGGTCTAATTCAGGAATGACCAAGTTCCCTTCTAAGCTTTTTCGTCGAGCCAACTTCACCAAGGTCAGACCTGTGGCCAGTGACGTCCAATAGTTGCTAATCCATTTATCTTTAGTCCAGCATATGTAATCTTTAAACCCCTAGACAAATTTAACCGAGTTATCATCTAATTGCATTCATTAGCAGCTGTATGAGTCAAATGCTTCCCACAATCGAACCTCCATTCTCATTGTTTAGCCATTGTTGTACTCTGATGTACTTAACCGCCTTTTTATATCACCTTCGTTAGTTAATAAATTCACTGTAACCAAGGAATTGTGTGTATTGCCTACTTCTGAGTCCCTGCCAAGAGAATTGACCCTTTAGATATGAGACTGACTGATTGATTTAAGATAATTGAGCGATTATTAACTAACTGATCACTGGTGAATAATTGTATAATTATTAAAAGCTACCTAGAGGTCTGGAGACTCTAGGTTAATAACAACTCTGGTGGTGCCCCGAAACGAGAGATTAATATTGTCTGAATATTCTTGTACCGAAACTGTGCCACAGAGTGCCTAACAGTCACAACTCATGTGTCAGACCACTATTTCATTCAGTTCACAGTATGCCTACAGGAAAAGCCCATTCTTCCAACACCATTGGTCTCAGTGGTAGCTTCTGCTCTAGCCTCCCTCAAAACATTTTACTCACTTGAGGTCAATGATGCCACACAATCTCTGTGCTCTGCACTAAGCTCGTGCCTGGATAGCCTGTGTCCTCTATCCACCAAGCCTGCTCGCCCAAACCAGTCCCACCCGTGGCTAACTGATACCATCCGTGGGCTCCGTACTGATCTCAGAGCGGCTGAAAGAAAATGGCGAAAAACCCCACCGACCTTAAGGACTACCAATTGCTCCTATCCTCCTTCTCAACAAGCATCAGTGCTGCCAAAACTGCATACTATAATGACAGAATAAGCAGTTCCACTGACTCAAGGAAATTATTTTAAATCCTCCTCCACCTCCACCATCCACAAACTTGTCTGCTGATACCTTTACTGCCTTCTTCACAGGCAAAGTGGAGACTATAACTAGCCAATTCTCTGAAACACTCAAACTCAACGATTGTAGCAGTCTTACTACATCTTTTCCTCTGCCCTCCCAGGTCAGTGGTTGTTCACTCTCCTCGTTTACTCCTCTCACAGAGAGCAAAGTATCAGAACTCTTGACCCTTAGCCGTCCAACTACATGCCCACTGGACCCGATTCCTACAAATCTCGTCCAAGCCATTTCTCACTCGTGATAAATATTTCTCTGGCTTTAGGAACCTTCCCGACCACTTTCAAAAGGGCTCGGGTTACACCCTTGCCCTTACTTGACCCAACTCAAGTTGAGAACTATCGACCACCATCTCGGCGCGGATCACAGACTGTCTATCGGACATATCTGCATGGATGAAGGCTTGCCACCTTCAACTAAACCTCTCTAAGACTGAATTCTTGGTCATTCCAGCCAAGCAATCTATCCACCATGAGACTACAAATTGACTCCGCAACCATCACTCCAACCAAGGTGGTGAGAAACTTGGGTGTCATGACTGATGACCAGCTGTCCTTTTCAGACCATGTTGCTGCTGTCTCTCGGTGATGCCGCTTTGCTCTATACAACACAAGGAAAATCAGGCCCTACCTCACTCAGTACGCCACCCAGCTTCTGGTACAGGCCATGGTTATCTCTCGCATCGACTATTGCAATGCCCTCCTAGCAGGTCTTCCAGCTTGTGCGGTGAAACCCTTAAAAATGGTTCAGAACGCATCAGCGCGTCTGGTTTTTGATCAGCCCAAAAGGACTCATGTCACTCCATTACTCAGTGACCTCCACTGGCTCCCTGTGGCTTCCAGAATCAAATTCAAGTCACTAATGCTTGCATACAGAGTGCGTACTGGGTCTGCACCCATCTACCTAAACTCCATAATACAAACTACGTTCCTTCTCGGTCGCTACACTCCTCCAACGAACGGCGCCCTTCACACAAAACGATCCCATCACGCCATCAGAGCAGGGGCGTCCCTATCTAACTTCAAGAAAATCTTGAAAACTCATCTCTTCCGAGAACACTTCCTCTGATAACACCTCTAACTCCTAACCTCTAACATGCACTTCCTGTGCTCTTCTTCTTCTATCCCTTACAATCTTGTATTGATTGCACTTTTTAGTTTTGATTGCACTTTTTGTTAACTCTTACTTCCTTCCCTAGGTATTAACCCCATGTATGTGATATGTACTATGAGCTCATACTAGTATTTATTGCTGCTCTTACTAGTATGTATTGTCAGTTGTGGATCTGTATTTGATGCTGTGTTGATGCTTGTATGTTGTTCCTCAAATGTAAGTCACTTTGGATAAAAGCGTCTGCCAAATGAGTAAATGTAATGTAAATGTTGTTTGCAGGGGTATTGGTTGAAAGTAGGTTTTGATTGATGTTGAGGATTTTGGAGTTGAAAAAGGAAGCTGGAAGGAAGGAAGGTGCTAAGGAAGCTGTTGTTGCTGTTGATAGGGCATTTTTATAGTTCACCTAGTGGTCTCTGTATGCTTGTGGGTGGATTTCAAGAACGTTTTTTTATAGGAGGGTTTGTGTAACCGTCCAGTGGCTTTAAAGTGTCGTAGCACAGTGGTGTACCAGGGAGCAGTGTAGGTAAAGGACAATGAATAGGTTTTGAGAGGAGCAAGATTATCGAGGGAAGAGGACAGGCAGTCATTGTAATGGGTGATTAGTTCAGATTAAGTTTATGTTCCTTATATTTCTGAATGTGATGATTTGGGGGTCAGGGATGTCAAATAGAATAGGTTTGTGATCAGAAATAGGGAGGTGACCATTACTAATATACAGGGTAGACACCTGTGGAACAGACTAAATCTAGGGTATGAGTAGGGAAAGTTACATTTTGGGAGATATCAAGACTGTCCAGTAGGAAAAACCAGCTGCAGCCAAGTTACAGTTAGCAGTTTTGTCAACATGGATATTAAAATCACCTACAAGTCTGCTAATGTGACTCAGTCCATGGAAATCAGACTTAATTTTCTTTCTCTTTTCCTCCTTTCTCCTTATTTCTCCTCCTTCATTAGATGACCAAGTTCCGCAGCCTCCTCTTCACTGGAGAAGGAGACACTCCATGCTGCATGGTGGACAACTATCGGCCTCCTCAGCCTCTGAAGGGTCGTCAGGTCCGGGCTTCCTTCAAATGAGCTTCATCTTCTTTGCCCCTGTATTCATCCTTCCCAAACCTTTTTACTCCCATTATTCTCCGTTTGCAGTCTTTAGCTTAAAGCCCTATTGACGACTTGAAAAGTAGAATAAAAACCTGCTTACGCTTATTACAACATGTATCTTCAATTAAAACCATAAAGACATAGGCTGCATTTATACTTTTCATTTCAAAAGCGTCTCATAACCGGATAAAATCCAGATGATATTTAAGACTTATTGCCAAGGCTCTGATCCGACAGGTCGCGTTTTTTTGCGGTGAGAGGCATCTTTTTCAAGTTGCTTTCATTTTACGCGCTGCTAATGTGCATGACCATATCACATCTTTGACATGCATTTTGCAGGAGCACTCTGAATGCATTGAAAAAACTTTAACTAAGAGGAAAAAAAAGCGTTCAACCTCATTTGTTTTTTTTTTCCATTGTCCAGTCAGATTCGATTTGTGAGTTTACTTCCCAGCACAATCAAGCAACGCAAGTTGCATGAAGTCTAAGTGTAAATGGTGTCATAGATTGTGCACCCATAAAATAGCAAAGACAAAGGTACCCAAAGATTTCTATCCCAGAAAACACAGGTCCCAATGGACAAGTGATGTACTTAAATTGTCACAACTACTAATAGTGGGAATTCTGAACGCTGATCTCCTTATTTTTTATACGTTTATAGACGTTTATAACGTCTTATGCATCACATTTTCCCTGGCCATGTTATAACTAATAATTAGGGCCCAAGCATGAAAAATCCAAGGACCCTATTGAAATTTCAAGGATTTTTTTCTTTCTTTTTCCTGCAAATCGATCTCATTTTTGTACCAAATTTTATAAGAGTACCTCCTTTAACACATCTACAAGCCAATATTCATAGTGCCACCTACTGGCAACAAGAAGCGACTACATCTATGCTGTGATGAACCACTTCTTGCAGGTTGGCCATTTCTTTTTCAAATCTATCTCAAGCTTGTGCGTTTTCCTTAAACAGCCTGTCCGTGGTGTGGTGGCGAAGTTCCATGCTTCGCCTTAAAACAGGTAGTCGTCATAACTTCACTGTACATGCTCAAATCTGTATCAAACTTTACACACATCCACACGCCATTATTCTATAGTCGTAGCGGCACCTATAGGCAACAGGAAGAAAGCTCTGTGTTGCAATCATCACGTTATTTAAAACTGAAGTGACATTTAAGACCTTTCGTACAGTGTCCAAACCGCGTGGCAAATTCTGAGCCGTGCTGCAGAGCTGCTGAATCTGCGATGTGGGCACGTCACACCATGACACGCTTCATGTGCAAGGGCCCGCCCAACGCTGCTTGCTTTATATGAATTATTTTCTTATTTATAGTATCTTTTCATGTGTGCTTTATCAGGCTTTATCATAGACAAAATCTAATCAAAATTATAAAAGTAGAAGTTGTGTTAATATAGGAAATCTTAATAAATATTATATTTAACATTTCAAGCAACAGAAACTTATTAGCATTAATGCACTGAAGTAAAAAAACACAAACTACAGGCAACTGTATATTATGGGATCATGTGTGATTTATATTAAACTTTAAAAGCACACCTGAATTACATGCAAAGATATTGATCAGTAATAAATCTAATTAACTCATTAACACAAGCTACAGTATCGCCATTACTACTAATAATAAAAGTGATGATAATCCATCCATCCATCCGTTGTCAACCGCTTATCCTGTGTACAGGGTTGCGGGGGGCTGGAGCCAATCCCAGCTGACATTGGGTGAAAGGCAGGGTACACCCTGGACAGGTCGCCAGTCCATTGCAGGGCGTGATAATAATGATAACACTTCTTATAATACTTAATAATTCATCATCCTTTCTAAAATATAAATTATTTGCCTTGTTTGAAATTAAAGCATTTGTGAATTTCCCCTGCTCCTTTCTATGCATTTCATTGTGTTGTAATTCACAACACATAGACAGCTGCTCAGATTGTGAAAGCGAAAGTTTTTCCTGATGCCTCATTTTGTCAGTTTGAGACAAAGTGACCATACTGAGCTTGGACTTGACATTTATATTTGGTGACAATACAGTTGTACACTGTGGCCACCACCCATCAATTGGCATTTCTATGCAAGTAGATTTTTAGACTCATGATTACCTCATTGCGGTACAATAATGCTATGAAAGTATGTTAGGAAGGACGGTATTGGCTGATAGCACAGCCTGAGGCCATGTCTACATTAATGTGCATTGTGTCTGTCTCTGTGTTGGGCTTCTATCCATTCTAGGTAAATGGAGCTTTTATTCTAAAACTGGTCAGCACCCTACTGGCACATCTGCATTACTGTGGTAATGGCTCTAGCCAACTCTTTCTATAAGTGGTTCTACCGTAAGTGTTACATTTTTTTTAAAGAACTGGGACAACTGAACTACCTATCACCACAGTGCATTATATCTTTAAGATTCATGTAAGATGGAGCTATTAATGTTGGAAAGAATGTAAAGAATCAATTTATGACTATACATTAACACACGCTTCAATATCACTATAGGCTATAGAATCTTTCATTAAATTATTAAACTTTGGTAGCAATGTCTGCAGTCATTACTCCATCTAACTAAACTAAGGTCAATGGCAGGTATTCATAAGAGACCAGCGCAATATTACTTTTTAGCTTTTATATCAATGTTAAAAAATGTCATAAAACAATCAGCTTTCAGTGTGGCTATAGTGAAACAAGCAGTAACCCTTTAAAGTGTGTCCTTTGAAACTGCTGTCACATAACATATGGGCAAATGTTTTGTGTGAATCAGTTGTGTCTTTAATGGAAAATAATTTTATCAATAAAAACTCAGCTAACTTACATATGTCTCAAATGTTCCTTCTTGCTCACAATTCCTAATTATATTATTTTAATTTTCAATTTTTTAGTATTACTCAAAATGGGTATCTTTCTTTAGTAATCCACAGATATTGCTATTTAGCCATACTAGCAGCATGGCAGTTGATGAAAAACAGACATCTGGAGGCAGCCTTTATTGTTACGGGGGGAGTCCAACCACTCAAACCTGAAGAATGTACACCCCATATTCCACCAGCATTTCTCCTGCCCCACGAGAGAACACCTAGGACCATGTTTACACCAATATGGCAATTGTAGCAGAGGGTGTCAAGCAGGAACATGGGGGCAGCAGGTGACTCACAACCACGAGATGCTGACTCCATAACTCCAGAGCCAGAAACACCTGCAGAAAGTGATAGGAGGAGAGAGGAGAGGGACAAGAAAGTACAAGACTACGGGAAAGGGAAGAAGTCAAGTTAAGCCTAGTGCACACTACACAATGTTTACTCCAATTTACCCCTCCGGCGAGCTCGAGAGAGCAGGCAGTTGGCAGAGCAGGCAGCTACTTTTTCACTGCAAAACACTTTTTACTCACCTCCAGCTTTCTCTGTAGCTCAGATGATCCCTGCTACCTGCATGTGGTAATCCATTCTTTCACCCATAATTGGTATCTTTATAATAACAAACAACAGGTGTTTCATGTATAGGTTCACATCATTTCCCGTTTCACATTTCATGTGTGTTTTCTTGACAAAATGTGGTTTGGAGACCAGCATCAGGTGACAGAGTCCTTGTCTGCTCGCGTAGTGTGTGTGACTCCCTGTCACTGATCAGTCACGTAGTGTGAAAACGGCACAACGACTTCAAGACTCCCGTCACAAGAAGGCAAGTTGTGTACCGTGAACAGCACGGCCGACGCTGAAAGTTAGTAGTCTGAACGAGCCTTTAGTAATATGCATTAATGGGATGAGGTTGCATACAGTGGGACAGAAGGAGTAGGAGAGCCGAGCTCAGTGCATCATGCGAAGTCCCCTGGCAGTCTAGGACTATAGCAGCACGACTAACCTAAGCCAGCCCTCACTATAAGCATTCAAAGAGGAAAGTCTTAAGCCTATTCTTAAATGTTCTTGTAAATTTGACGCTTTCATCTAGGATTTTTTTTTCTCAGTTTATTAACCCCACCCTGGCTCCGTATTTTTTGGACACGTAAAATCTAAATATTAAGATGCAGGTAGATGCACGTAAAATCTAAATATTCAGATGCAGCCCCAGTGGGGCAAGTCAGGAGGAAATCTAACAATATTTTATCAAGTGGTATGTATTAATATCAAACTTCTCATCATTAACACTGGGTAAAGATGTGGTGTGGAGCTCACAGGGTAACCTTGAGTTAACCATGAACAAAACCTGCTCGGAGCAGTTTAGAGATGCAGCGTAAATTTAACTAAGAGGGAAAAAAAGTGTTCAACCTCATTTTTTTTTTTTTTCCATTGTCCAGTCAGATTCGATTTGTGAGTTTACTTCCCAGCACAATCAGTTAGGCTAAGGGCAGTTAATTCAGCAACAAGGCTTCAACAAAAAAGTCAGGAAAATAGGCCTCTTGAATGCCCTTATCGATCCACGCAAGTTGCATGAAGTCTAAGTGTAAATGGTGTCATAGATTGTGCACCCATAAAATAGCAAAGACAAAGGTACCCAAAGATTTCTATCCCAGAAAACACAGGTCCCAATGGACAAGTGATGTACTTAAATTGTCACAACTACTAATAATGGGAATTCTGAACGCTGATCTCCTCATTTTTTATACGTTTATAGACGTTTATAACGTCTTATGCATCACATTTTCCCTGGCCATGTTATAACTAATAATTAGGGCCCAAGCATGAAAAATCCAAGGACCCTATTGAAATTTCAAGGATTTTTTTCTTTCTTTTTCCTGCAAATCGATCTCATTTTTGTACCAAATTTTATAAGAGTACCTCCTTTAACACATCTACAAGCCAATATTCATAGTGCCACCTACTGGCAACAAGAAGCGACTACATCTATGCTGTGATGAACCACTTCTTGCAGGTTGGCCATTTCTTTTTCAAATCTATCTCAAGCTTGTGCGTTTTCCTTAAACAGGCTGTCCGTGGTGTGGTGGCGAAGTTCCATGCTTTGCCTTAAAACAGGTAGTCGTCATAACTTCACTGTACATGCTCAAATCTGTATCAAACTTTACATACATCCACACGCCAATATTCTATAGTCGTAGCGGCACCTATAGGCAACAGGAAGAAAGCTCTGTGTTGCAATCATCACGTTATTTAAAACTGAAGTGACATTTAAGACCTTCGTACAGTGTCCAAACCGCGTGGCAAATTCTGAGCCGTGCTGGCAGAGCTGCTGAATCTGCGATGTGGGCACGTCACACCATGACACGCTTCATGTGCAAGGGCCCGCCCAACGCTGCTTGCTTTTATATGAATTATTTTCTTATTTATAGTATCTTTTCATGTGTGCTTTATCAGGCTTTATCATAGACAAAATCTAATCAAAATTATAAAAGTAGAAGTTGTGTTAATATAGGAAATCTTAATAAATATTATATTTAACATTTCAAGCAACAGAAACTTATTAGCATTAATGCACTGAAGTAAAAAAACACAAACTACAGGCAACTGTATATTATGGGATCATGTGTGATTTATATTAAACTTTAAAAGCACACCTGAATTACATGCAAAGATATTGATCAGTAATAAATCTAATTAACTCATTAACACAAGCTACAGTATCGCCATTACTACTAAAAGTGATGATAATCCATCCATCCATCCGTTGTCAACCGCTTATCCTGTGTACAGGGTTGCGGGGGGCTGGAGCCAATCCCAGCTGACATTGGGTGAAAGGCAGGGTACACCCTGGACAGGTCGCCAGTCCATCGCAGGGCGTGATAATAATGATAACACTTCTTATAATACTTAATAATTCATCATCCTTTCTAAAATATAAATTATTTGCCTTGTTTGAAATTAAAGCATTTGTGAATTTCCCCTGCTCCTTTCCATGCATTTCATTGTGTTGTAATTCACAACACATAGACAGTTGCTCAGACTGTGAAAGCGAAAGTTTTTCCTGATGCCTCATTTTGTCAGTTTGAGACAAAGTGACCATACTGAGCTTGGACTTGACATTTATATTTGATGACAATACAGTTGTACACTGTGGCCACCACCCATCAATTGGCAAAAACTGGCACATCTGCATTACTGTGGTAATGGCTCTAGCCAACTCTTTCTATAAGTGGTTCTACCGTAAGTGTTACATTTTTTTTAAAGAACTGGGACAACTGAACTACCTATCACTACAGTGCATTATATCTTTAAGATTCATGTAAGATGGAGCTATTAATGTTGGAAAGAATGTAAAGAATCAATTTATGACTATACATTAACACACGCTTCAATATCACTATAGGCTATAGAATCTTTCATTAAATTATTAAACTTTGGTAGCAATGTCTGCAGTCATTACTCCATCTAACTAAACTAAGGTCAATGGCAGGTATTCATAAGAGACCAGCGCAATATTACTTTTTAGCTTTTATATCAATGTTAAAAAATGTCATAAAACAATCAGCTTTCAGTGTGGCTATAGTGAAACAGCAGTAACCCTTTAAAGTGTGTCCTTTGAAACTGCTGTCACATAACATATGGGCAAATGTTTTGTGTGAATCAGTTGTGTCTTTAATGGAAAATAATTTTATCAATAAAAACTCAGCTAACTTACATATGTCTCAAATGTTCCTTCTTGCTCACAATTCCTAATTATATTATTTTAATTTTCAATTTTCAGATCACTTCCTGTGTTACATTTGTGACTTCCTTTTTATGGATTTGTGGAGTTTTGTCCAATCTGTCCCGCCGAGATCTCTAAAAAGATATTTCTAAGTTTAAGAGCAGTTTACTAGCTACACCAGCAGGGGGCAGTAGCGACATTGCTTCCCATGAGTTGACAGGACATTTACTACATTAATAGTGTCGTGCTCATCTGTAGGAGAGAACAAGCAAAAGGACTGTAGACCAGTTTATGGTTTCAACTTGACCAATTTGTGATTCAGGATCTGGGTCCAGTGGTCCAGCAGAAGTAGCCCAGAAAACTGTGCTGCAGGCTCAGTCCAGTAGCAGCTGAGACAGGATAAGGCCAAGGTGCTGGTGAGAAAATGGGGATAAAAAAGGAAAAGACTCAATGATATATTGTAGAAAATCCTCATCATGTCAATCCCGTAATCATAAAACAGAAACACAGTGCACGTTACATTCTGGGGTACTGTCACTAGGTTAAGTATCATTTTGCACTTATCAGGCCAACTGTCCTAGCCTCCTGATTCCATCTCTGTGGAAACTAAATGTTTACTGATTATCTGACAGCGGTAAATATAAGCAATATTGGTATGCTAATTCCAGTTGTAGTGGGAATGACCAAGTATTGTGAAAACCATAAAAACTGTCTAAGTGAACTAAATGATTTTATGTGAGCTTGTTACATCATGTGGGAAAACTCCACAAATGCGTAAAAAAAGGAAGTCACGAATGTAACGCAAAGGAAGTGATCTGCAAATGTGTAAAAACTATTTTGTGTGCTTAAATGGATCCACAAATGTGAAAATAACACTTTGTATTGTGTAAATTGTGTGTATTTGCAAATCACACTGTATTTTTGTGGATATGATTTTACACAATACAAATGTAAATATACATGTTTTGGTAGTGAGACATTTGTGTATATATTTTTACATATCTCTGTGGTACACATTGGACAAAATTCCACAAATGCGTAAAAAGGAAGTTACAAATGTAACATGACAAATCCACAAATGACCCTGAATTTTTGTGGATATGATTTTACACATTTGTGGATAGAGAAATATCATTGTACACATTTGTGGATTATCTTCTGTGGGTAACAAATATTAAAGTCCAATTAAAACTGCCATAACAGTGTAACTCACTCTGTGTGTACTGGGACAGGAACAGGAACGCTTTGGAACTTTTCTGAGAATCCTATGATTTCTTCAGTGATATAATATTTGGTCTTTATTTAAATGGCACGCCATGCTGGGCTCATTTGAAGTAATGCTTGGCATTAAAACACAGTATTGACAAGCACTTAATGGCCTTATAGCCTACCACATACACAAACTTTGGGAGTATACTCTGTGGTGGCTAGAGGCTCAGCAATGTAAACTTAGCTAAATGTATTGGATGATAACAAAAACAGTCAGTGAGCTACACTGAGTATTATAAATGATTGTTGCAACACTTTCTAACAGTTAGACAGTAGTAACGATACTTTAGTGCGCTGTTATGTTGCGTTAAATTACAGGGGCCGAGACGGTGGTGAAGCTGTCAACCTGAGTAATGGTAAAATGATAATAAATCTAAATTGAACATTACTAAGCAAACAACACCAAGTCGGTGCTAAAGGCTGCCCCTGCTTTCACTATTGGCTAACAAATCACTCCACATTTGCTTTGTACATCATTTTTTGCGGGCTAAAATCAACACTTTGACATAATACCCATGGTACACAGGATAGTAATATGGGTCGCGTTAGCTGGTGAAGTAATGTGGCAAGCCATACAACCAGTGCTGTGCACTGGATAACGTTATTGCTTGGTGTTAACCGGTGAGCTAACACAATCTAACTTGAGCAAACTAAAACAAAATCAGACTATATTTCACATGCTTTGCACTAATGTTCGTTTACCTGTCCAAAAGAATGAAAGCCAACTCTGTGTTGGTTTTTATTTCCAAAACAAAGTGGAGGTTTCTCCGTGACTCAAGCCTTTCAAGTGTTGACTGCGTTTTTGCCCAGCATAAATCGATTCTCGTTTGGCCTGACGGGCGTCAAGCACATAAAACTTCAGTTATTTTTTTATCCTTATGTGGAGTTTGAGCCAGTTGTTTGTTGGTGTTAGTGGACTCCATTTGTGGCATTTTTTCAGAATTAGTAGGCAAGAGTCACAGGAGCGCACATGCAGAAAATTTACCAGATTCCTTCATATAAGAAGCAGAATAGTGGATATTTCAAATACTTTGGGAGAAATCTATGTGATGACATCATAAAAACACTGCCTATGACTGTTACCTAATCAGTAATTTGCCTAAACCTATTGAGATCAGCACAGAAAACTGATCCAGAAGAAGGTGGTCATGGTGAGAAACGTATAGGTTGCCAGCTTTCCATCCATTTGTAGCATGAATGCTACAATTCTTAAGCCTACCTGTTAAGTTTTGGTGTTCGTTTTAGTAGACTAAGCTAAATTGTTGACTAATTTACATAATATTCTACTTCCAGCTTATGCTAAGCTTTCATTGGTTCGGCATGAAAAAATAAAGCATTTCAGAGTTGAGAAAACTGTGAGTTAATCATTAAACTGGTTACTTTAAAACCTTCTTTGGGTGATCACAGGTATATGTCAATTTTTGATCCGTTAACTAGTTGCCTGTCAAATGTATCAACATGACTTGTTAGGCAGAGAAAAGCTGTTGCTCTCAAACACTGTCTACTTAATCAGCTGTCAATGTTCTCGTGAAATAGGCCAATAGGGTGATTTCATAGTACCTTGGAAAAGTATTTTAGTATTTAATACAAAAATATAAATAAAATGCAAACATACAGTAGTTAATTTTATTACATGGCATGGCTGCTGTATTTTGTAGTTTATTTTGATACACAAGGATTCACAAATATATTTCCATTGAAAAATGCTAAGTTGCCATACAAATGATGATATAAGAGTTAATTAAAGAGAGAAGGGGGAACAGATACAGATATAGACACAAATTACTGCATTTATTTGGGCATTGTATTTTAGGAGTACTTTTTTTCAGAAATGTCTTTGTACTCTAACTCAAGTAGTTATTTTGAGTAGTTGTTTTTGCAAAGTAAAAGTACTTGTACTTGAGTAGCTTTTTGCTACTCTACCCACCTCTGTTTATGACACACCAAACACCAACAAAACCCTCTCCAAAAGGTCATGATAATTAAGATATAATTTATTAACATGAACCATACATCAAAATATCGACCAAAAAACATCTGAAAATGTAATGGACAAATGATTTTAGTTGCCAAGTCTGTGGATGTTCCACTTAGGTACAAACAGCATATATACTGTGCAGTTTGGAGTTGTGGAAATAATTCCTACACTAACAACCTGTTTGCAGTCAGTCTTTCAACTCTTATCAGGTCTGTCGATGTTGTCTGTGTCGAAGATGAAGGGTTTATCATAGCCCATTAGGTGGTTATAGTCATGTGGAATGGGGAACAGGTCTGGGTTTACCAGCAACCCCATGTTGTCAGCGTAGAAGGTGGTGAACATCTTGCTGACGGCTGGGATCCTGACCTGCCTCTGGTGGAAGACGCTCTTTTTCTCAGTGAGGAAAACACTGTAGGTGATGGCAGTGTAGGTGTCTCTGTCTGGGTTGTGGTACAGGCGGATCACGTAGCCCTTGGTGATGACGTGTAGGAGGACAGGGGTGAGGAAGGTAAAGAAGCCGATGAAACCACAGAAAACAGCCTGCATAGCAAAGCTCTGGACTCCTAGTCCGGTTTTCAGGAGGATGTGGGGCATGAGGAAAATGCTGGCCCCGCTGGTGCTGTAAGAGAACATCTTTACCCCTGACAAAAGTGATAAGATACAGAGAACACAGGTTAACGAAGGAGGGTTGCTGTAGAATACACTTTTCCATACACTGCTATCATCAGTCATATATCCATTGTTTCCAAGTATTGCATCGCTCACTGTACAGTAAAAGTCTCATAAACCTACAGTTTTACACAGCAACTGAAGATGTACCAGACAGCTAAATGGGTTACAATGTATCAAACTATTACTACTACTATTGAAAGTACTTTCTTAGGGGAGGCAGTAGCTCAGCCCATGGGGACTTTGCTTGGAAACTGTAGAAACCCCTAACTGAATGGGGTGACTAGAGGCCCCTCGCTCTGACATCTCTCCATGTGTTAATCGGGGCTCCAGACTGCGACCAAGTGTGCGAGTTAAAATTTCACGTGGTCGCATTCGAGCAAGTGCAAGGTGATCATCATCAGGGACCTACAGCGTGACCATTTCACTCGCAAATGTCCCTGAAGTGAGAGCACACTGTGCGAGTAAAGACCGCAACCTACCGTAATGCCCCCCTCCCTGCCACTAATAGTAGTATTGTTGTATAGTCTGACTGACCGCCGGGAGCACAGGGAGAAATCCCTGGGTAGGTCTCTCTTTGACTGCTTAAACAACTCATTTTAAAAACAGCGAGAGACGGGAAGGGGATTTTTTGTGTTGTGGTAGCTGGTTATTTAGCTATAGGAGGTGCCTTTTGTTGAAATGTTCAACTTTTCAGTCAATGAGCTTATCAATGTCACTTTTTTATTGACTACCAGCTATATACAGTGTGCTAGCCTAAAAAAAAACAGGTGTTTTCTAACATTAACTTAGCTCTCCTTATTAGCTAGGCTCCTTACATGCTTGCTAATAACTTTTTTTTAAGTTGGATCGCCCACATTGACAGCGTTGTGTTGGACAGATTTGTGCAGTTGTGTTCATGAGGGAGAGAGAGAGAGAGGGATGGGTGAGTGAGAAAGAGAGAGGGACGAGCGAGAGGATGTGTTGCACAAATGCGCTACGGTGCTCTGCAATCAAATACAATTTTAAATAGGCCTAGTAAAAAAAATAAAATAATCAATCTGTGGTGGTCAGCGTTGATATTGTGGCGGGCTGCCACAATTAAATGAACGTATGGGAAACACTGACATCTTTTAATCATCAATGGGTTTAGACTGCACAGCGAAAATTTTAAGTAGATCAAACTCATTCCCTAGGAGGAGTAAAAGTACGGAGCCTGTAAGTCAACAAAAATGACCATTAAATCCAAAACTGCAGACTTCCTGTTGGGTAGGTAATGGTTCCAAGAGGCTTTTTTGTACATCTGGACATGATACATGTGCTACAGACATTTCGTACATGTAGGTCAAACATGCCGCACAGGCTGTTTAACTGAAGGTCACTTCCTGTTGCCAGTAGGTGGCACTATGAATATGGGTGAATATTGGCAAGTACATGTGTTCAGGGAGGGACTTATCAAAGGAGTTAAATTTGGTACAGATTTGATCATGTACAGTCAAGTTACACCAACGTTCTGTTTCATGGAGAATTATCAATTTTCGACGACATGCCACGGACACGCCCATGTGTGAGTTAACGAAAACTCACAGATTGCTCAACTTTTCATCGTCAATGCCTTTAGAATGCACAGCAGAAATCTGAAGTCGATCCGATTAATTCCCTAGGAGGAGTTTGTTAAAGTATGTAACCTGTGAATTGTCAAAAAAGGCAGTTAAAAATAATGTTGACTTCCTGTTGGGTTTAAGGAATCACTTCCAGCGGCTTTTTGTAGGTCTGGACATGATACATCTGCCACAGAAATTACATGCAATTTGGTGAAACATGGCCCTGGGAGCTGCTCTGTAGGGGCACTAGCAAGCCAACCTGTGCGACAACTATATGACGCGTACATTTCGACCATGCTCGAATTTTGTGCAGAGTTTGGTGAGTTTTTGAGCATTTTTCGGCTACCCGAAATGCGTTTCATTTGGGAAAAATAATTCCTTTCATTTCAATGGGATCCTAACATGTTTCATGCTTGGGCCCTAATAATTCCTTCAGTTTCCATAAGCTAATAATATACTGATCATGTCATTTAGTGCTTACGTTACAAAAGTGGCAGATAAAAGGTCTGAGTTGTATAAATAAAACTAAGTTGCACTATATTACAGTGGCTGGGTACTGTCTTAAAGGGATTTTCTTAAGTTTTTTCTTAAGCTGTGTAGTTCAGTAGTCCAACTAGTATCAGATAAAGAAAAAGAAAAAGAAAGAAAAAGAAAAATTGAAAAGTTACTCACCTCGAACAGCACTGCCTAGGCTGCCAGTGTAAATGAGGTTCTCATCCTCAGATTGGGTAGCCGTGGAGAAACAACAGGTTGATGGACAGTTGGACTGTATCTATTCAATGAAACAGAAGAAAACACATGATCAGCTTTATATCCCGCAGAGAGCGTTTCAGCGTTTGTCTGCCAGATTCTGTTAAAATTTTGTTGATTTGGTCATTTTTCCTTGGTTTACGTAGGTAAATGGTTTATTTTTTCGTCTGCTTTTGTGTTTGTTGTTGATACTCGATCTGAAGTGTTTTATATTGAAAGTGACCATATTCTGACAATATATGTGTGCATATATTTATGGATGCACTGATTGCTTGGGACTGGAATTGGCCAGTTTACAGCTTAATTGGCCATGATCAGTGACCGGGGGCCGAGCAGTGTCTGATGTCCAATTTTAAATACAGCTCCTGTAGTCGATTTCATTCAGTACCACGGTGGTCTCGATCGGTAAAAAAACAAAAACAAAAAAAACTGAAAGGGAATCCCTGGTGAAAAAAATTCAAAACATTATAAAACTGCTGACAAATAAAGTCAACAGAGCAGATGGATACATGGCAGGGCTCCAGACTGCAATCATTTTGGTCGCAAATGCAACAATTTTTTTTAAGTGTGCGAGTTAAAATTTCACATGGTCTCATTCATGTGAGTGCAAGGTGATTCTTAGAAGCACAACAGTTTCCCTTGCAAATGCCTCTAAAGTGTGAGCACACTGGGCGAGTAAAGACTGAAAACTGATGTAATCCCCCCGCCTCGCTGCTAATCGTTCAAAACATCATCGGACTGGCCGCTTGCACCGGCAGAAATCAGAGAAGTTGGAACAGGTTGTGGTGAGATGGATCTTCTGCAGCGATGTTTCCTGAATCTGGAAATGAATAAGTCCTGAATGGAGGGTAGGGTTGGCACTGATGATCTTTTCTGTAGCCCTGACTGTCCATTGTAGTCTGTCCCTGTCCTTTTTGGTAGCAGATCCAAACCAGACAGTCATGGACATGCAGAGGAAAGACTGAATGATGGCTGTGTAAAAGTGGATCAGCAGCTCCTTAAGCAGGTTGAGCTTTCTGAGCTGGTGCAGGAAGTACATCCTCTGCTGGGCATTTTTGATGATGGTGTCAGTGTTGGGCTCCCACCTAAGGTCCTGGGATATAGTGGATCCAGTCAAAGCAGTCAAAAGATGTAGCCTTCACTTTTTCAGCAGTTTGGGAAACAACTAGGGTTGGGCCGATAGACGATGCCATCGTCCATCGGAGATGGCTGACAGACATCACGATGCTGAGCTGGCATCATGATTGTAAAACCCCCACAGCAAAAAAAAACAACATTCACATTATACCACTCTGTCCCCACACTCACACACACCTACACCTCAGGTAAACACCCCGGCTTGCCCCGCTTCTCTCAGTCTCTCTCAACCTCAGTCTGCTTTATTTTCTCCATCAGCAGTCGCCTAAAAACTGAGAACTTGTCTTTTTTCTGTATATTTCCAACGTCTGTTATCACGGCAGCAGGTGAGCCGCACTTCGGATTATTAATGACATCGCCTATCAAACAACTGAAACCAACATCTGCACTCTCTGTGTTCACTGTTGCTTTACCTGGTCTGCGCATAAAATATCCACCGCGACTTGTAACGCAAGTTAATAGCCTACCAATGTTTTTACCGAGTGAAGTCACACGCGAGAACACACACACCATCGTCCGATGGAAATTTTGTAGACATCGCCCAACCCTAGAAACAACAGACAGACTTTTCTTGGTCTTGAGAAACTGACACTGTACGTTTACTGCCAGAATATTTTTCTCTGCTCACGTTCACCGTCACTTTTTGCCGCTCGGACAATCACACACTTGCTACACACCTCCCACCTCTGAGTTACACTGCTCTTATAGCAGCACTTGTCATGTAGATGTCCTTTGAATAATGAGGAAGGAAGCAAGCCAAGCAGTGAAGTGTTAGCGCGCTCGCATTGTTTTTGTGAGTGAAAATTAGTAGGGCATTGACATAATAATGATTGTGTGAAATTTTAGTAGCAGCAGTACCGCCGCTCCTGAATGTAATTAGGGGAAACACTGGACAGCTAAATCTACATCTGTCCACTGCAGAGTCTCTATCCACCTGGAAGAGTAACTAGTAGCCAGTATATTGTGTATAAGTATACTATTATAACATTAAATTAAAAGGTTTGTTTGTATAATACTAATATATTTATAGGTTACACTAGGGTTGGGCCGATAGACGATGCCATCATGTCCATTGGCGATGGCTGACATCGTGATTGTAAAACCCCCGCCCCTAGGAAAAAAAATCTCAAATTTTCACATTATACCACCCTGTGAAAGCAGGTTTTAATGATCACGTTATTATTGTTTTTAAGTAGGCCTATGCTTTTCACCTGCCTCGGAATTCTCTTCTCCCCACACTCTGAAACACTCACACACACCTCCACCTCAGGTAAACACCCTGGCTTGCCCCGCCTCTCTCCGTCTCTCTCGCCCCCGTCTGCTCCATTTTCTCAGCAGTATGTTTTATAAAGTCGCCTAAAAGACTGAAAACTCGTCTTTTTCGGTATATTTCCTCCTGCGATCCGTTATCAGGGCAGCAGGTGAGCCGCACATCGGCTTATTAATGACGCAGCCTATCAAACAACTGAAACCAACATCTGCACCCTTTGTGTTCCCTGCTGCTTTACCTGGTACTTGTGACGTAAGTTAATAGTCTACTATTTTTTTTTTAATCGAGTGAAGTCTGCGCGAGGACACATGCACATAAGACTGCTGCTCCCCACGTGCGTGCACACGCCTGCGCACACGATGACATCTGATAGAAATTTTGCAGACACCAAGTTTTTCATGACCATATGAACTGTGAAAAGGTGATTTTTGGTTAGTAATAACATTATAACATTAGCAACTGCAAAAACAATGCGCTGTCATTTTTAGCAGGGGACAGTTTGCAATATTAATATTTTAGTTTTGAAATTCCCTTTCAAAAATCCATGCAGGACAGTTCATTGTACATTAGGAGCTAATGCTAACTGAGCTAAGCTCAACTAGTTTACATGAATCATGTCGATCCTTGTTTATATTTGGAAAACGAAATGTAGCCTAATTAACAGGACTTACTGCTGAGTTATATATAAAATAAAGACATGATCCCTTTAGCAATTATCTTTATGACTACATTATTTAACTTGATGTGTACCTACCAATCCAGTCCGTTATACCTGGTAAAATACCTTTAAATGGCCAATACAACCCATAACATGCAGTATATCACTTGTCAGAAAGTGATTACAGCTACTACTTATTGATTGAAAGGCAGATTCTGCCTCAAAATGGCTTGATTTCATTCAGAAGTTACATTTGACAGATTATAACTCTATAACTAGTAGCCTACTTTTTACCTGTTAAAATACCTTTAAATGGCCAAAACAACACATAAAATGCAGTCTACTTGCCAGAAAGTAATTTCAGCCTCTACTATAGAAATTTACGTTCCTTCTCGCCTGGCTCTGCCATCCCTTCACAAAAAGCAATCCCAGTCCCTATTCTCATCTGTGACACCACCATGGTGGAACAAGCTACCACACAACATCAGAGCAGGGGCGTCCTTCTCTAACTTCAAGAAGCTCTTGAAAACTCATTTCTTCCAAGAACACTTCCTCTTATAACACCTCTAACTCCTAACCTCTAACATGCACTTTCTGTGCTCTTCTTCATCTATCCCCTACAATTATCTTGTATTGATTGCACTTTTTGTTAATTCTTACCTACCTTCCATAGGTATTTAACCCCACTGATGTGATATTAACTATGAGCTCTTACTAGTATTTATTGCTGCTCTTACTAGTATGTATTGTCAGTTGTAGATCTGTATTTGAAGCTCTGTTGATGCTTGTATGTTGTACCTCAAATGTAAGTCGCTTTCGATAAAAGCGTCTGCCAAATGAGTAAATGTAAATGTACTTATTGACTGAAAGGTAGATTCCGTCTCAAAATGACTTGATTTCATTCAGAAGAGTTATATTTGACAGATTATAAAACCGAAATCGTTCCCTTTTTATTTCATATATAATAACATTATATTTTTTGATGACATACTGACCACCAAACCAAAAATGTCCCCGGTTTTCATTTGAGAAATCTGGTCACCTTAGTGAACACATGCCTTTATAAGGCATATATGAAACATTGTATCACAACATACTCCCCAGCCGTCCCGATGTTTCTTTGTAGACATCGTCCGATGGCAATTTAACAAACTGACAAATGAGGAAGGCGTTGTGCATCTCTTGAGAAAACACAATGTCCGTTCGCAGTTAAATACCTTGTTGTTTTGGTTGGAAAACGACCTTCTGACGGCACGTAGTTTCTTCCTGCTTCCTCCTCTGAAAGAAGACACGGTTAACGGCGCACCATGTCCTGCGGCTGTAAGGTGAATGTTACTGAACGACTGAGAAACAATTCGTGGTCGTAATCTACACAGAATGTACAAAGAAAACATCGTGAGTTTGTTTGCAACCTCTTTACACTTAATTTCACCCACAGTGGAGGTACTTCCGTTTCTTCTTCTTTGTGTAATGGTGGCCTACAGACCAGCAAGAAAGGTGCATGCTGCCACCTACTGTATCGGAGTGTGCAACATCTTAAAGCGTTTATAATCGGTATGGAGCTAAATAAGGACCAAATATTTTGTTAATTTGAAAAAAAAAAAGTAATAGAAAAACTAAAACTCCTAACACTTTGATGAGGCCATGTTAACTGCGTGGCGGTCACCTCTTACTGCTGTGAAAGCTGTTATGCACTTTAGGCAAAGCCTTAACACTGTTTGAAACACGTTTTGAGATTTGAAAAAACTTTATTTTATTTGTGAAAATGACAAAAGGGTGATTTCACTACTTTTTGTCCACATGCAGACCACATTAGACCAGGTCCAGATCCAAAACCACTATAACAAGAGTTCTATTTCGTATAGGCTATCGCTATTGGGGTCACCCCTTCCACGCGCCTGCGCGGCACTCAGAATTTTAGTCTATGCCCATCCGCAGCGTGGGCTTCTCCTACTTCCGTACCTTGTATATATATATACACAACGGTGAGACCCAGCCTTCGGCTTCCATTTTTCTCCAGCACTGAGCTGTCTAAAGAGCAGAAGATTTGTCTAAAGAGCAAAGATTTTCCAGCCGGAAAACAAGAAGAACGATGTCTTTCAGGAAGCCGGCCAGAACGTGGGGGGGCCACATGGGCTACATCGTGCTGGGTGATCTCCGTCCCCGCTGCGAGGCATGCCTCGGACCAGAGCACGCCAGCCAAGCGCTCACTCTCGGTTCACACTGCCCGTTCTGCGCCCTTCTGCCCCCTGAAGAGTGGCGGTGCAGTGCGGATAGCTTTGACGTTCAGAACGAGGAGGTGTGGCGGTCCACCTGCTCTCTGGACGAAGCCCTCGATCTGCTGTTGATGGGAGAGCGGGAGTTGGATGGCTCCACTCTTCCCATTCACAGGTCTCCGAGTGGCTCCTCGCTTCCCCCGTTCCAACCTCCGATGACGCCAGCCTCAACGCTACTAGGTTGTAGCGGCGAGGCAAGCTAACAGGGAGCTAATGTTGAGCTAACAGATAGCTTACGTGACGCTCACATGCGGTCTGCCTGGATCAGCAGACCAGGGAGACCCCGTGTGCCCACGTTGCTCCACACTAGCTGCGGCTAATGACATCTAGCAATCGGTTTCATTGCTGCTGGCCGACCCTCGTTGGTCAGAGCGGACCACTGGTAAGCTATGGGTCAAAAATAAGCTGTGAAATCTTGTTGCTCCTTTTGTGGAAGTTGTTGAACAAATGCTGTCTGTGCCTGTCTCAGTTGAACCAGCCACACCAAGCACACATTTCCCACACTGTGTGAGCCAGCTGCCGTTAGCCAGGTGGCTAATGTGCAGCAACAAGCAGTACACTCTGTTCACGATCAGAGGTGCCTTCACACACCCCTCCCCACAGAAACTGAACAGAACTGGACAGAACATATACACACCCAGTACAGATATTTTTCTGACAAAGAAATCTGCCAGGCAGTGTGTGATCCTGTTGACATTATGCACGTTCCCTCGGCAGTGCCCGGCTGCGAGCTTGTGCATAATCACAGGATCAATGGCACGGTCCTTCTGTGCCCGGACTTTGCTGCACATCCTCTCTCCCCTTTCCCTCCTCCCTGACATGGTCAGGTGGCTGGCCTGAGCCCACATGTATGCCTCCCCCGCCCTCTTCCCTTGCCGGGCGAGCGGCGCGGTGATGAGCCCTTGCCTCCCATAACACGAACAGGCTGCAGCTGGCCGGATGGCTTTCATGCTGCCTGGCTCCGATGCCATAAGCAGAATATTTCCTCCTCGCCCCGCCACTGTCTCTACGAAGTCAGTGGCTGCCGTCACACTGCGTGGACCCGCTGCAGCTGGCCATGCGGCCTTCATGCAGCATGTCTCCGATGTCGCAGGCAGACCTTTTCCTCTGTTGCCTGTCCCTGCCCTCTCCCCCTCGTCGGGGGAGTGGCATGGTTACGGGCTCACAGGTGTGGCTGCCCCACCTCGTGCCCGGGCGACTGTGTCTGCCTCTGCCTCCCTCCCCCCACCGGGGATGGGCCTATACTTATAGAATCTGGGTTACAGTACGTAACCCCTGTTCTCAAATCTGGACTACATTGGCCCAGAGAGGCTAAAGTTTCTTTGAAACATGGTTTTAGATTTGGGGAAAATGTATTCTGTTTGTGAAAATGAAAAAAGGGTGATAGTTCAATGCTTTTTTCACACCAAGTGACCTGGCCTTACAGCCTTTCGACAACTCTGCCTTTGGTTAGTACTCCACTGATTAGGCTGGTTAAGGTTGGGGTTATGATGGGATTAGGGTTAGCCAATCAGAGTCAGAGTAGGGGGCAGGATATGAGGCAAAATGTGCTTTCTTCAAATGATATTTGTTGGATGAATGATTGGGAAAACATGTAGTATATGTTATGATTTTTTTATGTAAGTATTCCAGTTTTTAGCCTTTTCCTGTCCGCCATAAACCTGTATCTGTTTGTCTTGTGTTATCCCTGTAGACATAGTAAACTCTGTAATTATCTTGCATTTTGAGTCTCTGAGTCTGTCAAAGTCCAGAGCATTCATAATGCAAATAAATAAGAACATATTAACCACATAGTTAAACACTTAAATGCATTGATTACTGTAATGGAATGTAACTGAGTACATTTTGTACTTTTGTTGTGGAGTGTATTCACAGTGTGGTAGTACTTTTACTTAGATCTGAATAATTATTTCACCTCTGATTATGTTTATGATGTGTTTATATATTGTATATATTATGTATTTACTATGTACTAACTATAGACATCATCTACAGGCATCAACAGAGAGATTGCAGAACCTCCACTCTCAGTTACATCCAAATAAAACCCAATGTTAACACATTATTGCATCGATTCAGCTCATTTTTGTAGCTCTAGGTACACAGTTTGGTTTAATATGGTTTCACTCTGTAACAAATAAACTGCACTACAAATGCAGTTTATTTACTGTGAATATAAGGTTAGCATTATTGCTAACAACCTTCTGCATATAATGCCTCAACCATGGAGAGTTTTTCCGGTTGTGTCCATTCTGCCGACATTGCCTGAATGCATAACAAGTAGCAGGTTTAGTTCAGGTTTAAGAGCTCTAGGTATACTGGTTTTGGATCTGGACCTGGTCTAATGTGATCTACATGCGAAAAAAGCAGTGAAATCGTCCTTTAAAGTATTTTCACAAATTTAATAAAGGTTTCACAAGACTGAAACTATGTTTGACTGAAACTTTAGCCTATCTGGGACAATCTAGTCCAGATTTGAGAGCTCTAGGTATAGTGGTTTTGGATTTGGCCTTGGACTAATGTGGTCTTCATGCGAAACAAGCAGTGAAATCCTATTTTAAAGCATTTTCAAAAATTTAATAAAGGTTTCACAAATCTGAAACTATGTTTAAAAGACACTTTAGCCTCTGTGGGACAATCTCATCCAGATTTGAGAGCTCTAGGTATAGTGGTTTTGGATCTGGCCTTGGACTAATGTGGTCTTCATGTGAAAAAAGCAGTGAAATCGTCCTTTAAAGCATTTTCACAAGAAGAATAAAGGTTTCAAAAATCTGAAACTATGTTTGATTGAAACTGTAGCCTCTCTGGGACAATCTAGTCCAGATTTGAGAGCTCTAGGTATAGTGGTTTTGGATCTGGACCTGGTCTAATGCGGTCTATATGTGAAAAAAACAGTGAAATCGTCCTTTAAAGTATTTTCACAAATTGAATAAAGGTTTCACAAATCTGAAACTATGTTTGATTGAAACCTTAGTCTCTCTGGAGTAATCTAGTCCAGATTTGAGAGCTCTAGGTATAGTGGTTTTGGATCTGGACCTGGTCTAATATGGTGTACACATGAAAAAAGCAGTGAAGTTGACCTTTAAAGCATTTTAACAAATTGAATAAAGGTTTCACATATCTGAAACTGTGTTTAAAAGAAACTTTAGACTCTCTGGGACAATCTAGTCCAGATTTAAGAGCTCTATGTATAGTGGTTTTGGATCTGGACCTGGTCTAATATGGTCTACACATGAAAAAAGCAGTGAAGTCGTCCTTTAAAGTATTTTCACAAATTGAATAAAGGTTTCACATATCTGAAACTATGTTTGATTGAAAGTTTAGTCTCTCTGGAGTAATCTAGTCCAGATCTGAGAGCTCTATGTATAGTGGTTTTGGATCTGGACCTGGTCTAATATGGTCTACACATGAAAAAAGCAGTGAAGTCGTCCTTTAAAGTATTTTCACAAATTGAATAAAGGTTTCACATATCTGAAACTATGTTTGATTGAAAGTTTAGTCTCTCTGGAGTAATCTAGTCCAGATCTGAGAGCTCTAGGTATAGTGGTTTTGGATCTGGACCTGGTCTAATGTGGTCTCAAGTGTTTTAGACAGCGTTAAGGCTTTGCCTAAAATGCATAACAGCTTTCACAGCAGTAAGAGGTGCAAAAAACGGAGATTCGGTCGCTCAGCAACATGTAAATGCCCCGTATTTGTATAGCGCCTTTCTAGTCTTTTCGACCACTCAAAGCGCTTTTACACTACATCTGCATTCACCAGTCATACACTGAGCCTAAGTGCTCAAACGGAAACTAACATTCACACTCATTCATACACTGGCGGAACAGCCGCCAGGGGCAAATCGGGGTATCTTGCCCAAGGACACTTCGACACGCGAGCCAGGGATTGAACCGCTGACCTTCCGATTATTGACCAACCCACTCTACCTCCTGAGCCACAGCCGCCCAACATAAGTTAACTTTCACTTAATTTCCCCTTAACTGCCGAATCGGAAGCTAACTTCAGCGTTGTAATATACACTTAGTTGTTGGGTAGTGGTGGCAAAGTTAAACTCTTCGCCAAATGAATAACTTATAGCTGCTATAAATACTTTGTAAACTAAAATGTACATATCATTTACATATCTACACAGATCAATCAGTGGAATGATGCATTCACGTGAGCTTTCTTAAGGGTTTGCCACAGGTGA